ATCGTTCACCGATCTGGGACCCGATCGTCGTTTGGGTCACGTTTTAGGTGGTCACGATTTATTCTGCCCGTGACACTGTGTTCGAATAAAAAACTTTTCCATCGTCTCCATGATAGCCCCAAGAATAATTATGCCATCCTGTTAGGAATGTAGTAATAATTAATAATATCTAACTATAATAATAAGCTAAATGTTAACAAAGAAAGCTTTCAATTACCAGGCAATATATTTAGACTAGCGGTCTTTGTACAGAAACCGATTCCAATATATCTTAAAGGAAATAAAATAATATTATTATACTATTTATTTGTATGAGAAATACAATGCCAGATACGCTTTATTTTACCCATTTTTTCCTTTACTTATGATATCAACTTCGAAATAAAACAATTCGCATTGTTGCGGTATTTGATGGTTTGCCCGTATTGAGACAGCTTCAAGGTTCTCTCTTTCAGGTCCTATTTATTTAAAGTATCTAGATTAAGTATCTGAAATTAAATGTAACTGAATATAACATTCAAATGTAATTTATAAGCAATTTTTGACCGAATTTAGTAGTTATCTAGTGAAATATCTCGATTTTATGATCTCATGAATTTAACGTTATAACTTTTACTCACCTCTATCATTCACTCTCAATCCATCTGAATCCACACTTAAAAAAGAGCTTTTGTCTTCAGAATTCCACATATTAGGTAAAGCTATACTCTTAAAGTAATCATCATAAAATTCTGCAAATCTTGTTTTTTCTAGATAAGCTGGAAGCTTACTAATTGAGGTTGATTTTATCATTTATAATCTGAATTTAAATGAATTGTCAGCCATACCATGAAAAGCGAATTATCTATACACATCTAGAAACTACAACCTTTGCTCTTATATGGCAAAAATGATCTAAAAACTAAATATCCAGAAGGCAGCTACGAGATTACTTTTTGTTTCACAGGTTAAAGATTCAATAATCATTGAGATAAAATTATAATGCGTACTACTGCTACACCAAGCCTTAGATTTGGTACAATTAAAATGCAGTGAAATGTAGTACGTAAAAAATATTCGATACAATATTGCATCTGGTATATAAATATTTGAATTTTCTCAAAATTACGCATACCGAAAATGCGTACGTACAAGGTTGCGCTCCGGAAGTCGGTTCGGATGGCTACTCGGGATAACACAATACAGTCACAAGACATCAATAATTGTCAACCATGTGACTAGTTTCGTCTAATAACTGAAATGTAACACAATGATATTAATGCTATTAGTTCTATCAGTTTTCTTAACATTATTAGTTTTATTAGATTTATTAGTTCTTAAAGATATAGTATATCACCTTAAACATTAAAAAAAACCAAAAAAAAGTTATAGTATATATCTTATTTCTATTATTTTTATTGTTACGGACCATAATGAAATCGGATTAAAATAAAATGAGTGTTTCCATTTAACTCTCTAAAACCAACTTATACTTGTTTATTATAAATTCAACCTAAAATTATCTTATAACCCTAAAAAATGCACCTCAAAAATTTTTATTTTTCGGTGGCTTATCTAGTTTTGCATTGTACACTATTTCATTTTAGAGAATTTCTATTTGTACTGTTAGGTTCCGAAATATTGTGAAGTCATGTGCTTGACTCCATGTCTTACAAAGCTATTAAAGCTATTAGTGCTAATAATGCTAATAACTCTATTATTTCTAATAGTTATATTATATATAATAGTATATTATTACTATTATATATCTAATATAATTAATAGATAGAATAGATATATTATCGCTGATATTTTAATAGCTCTATGTCTTAGTAAGAAAACATGTATAAATATCCTTCGATTTCCCGCTGGAAATCGACAGTTCACAACACACATTTATTAAATAAAACATTAAATCGTGTCTTCAAACGCGATATAAAACTCAAAACTTGTGGTTTATCTGTCTTGTCCACGTGACTGTCGTGAAGAGATTTCACGGTTACATATTTGTTATTTATTTATTGTTGGAATCACATTTGTAGTGACAACCTAAATCGGCGATCGGTCGCTAATCGATTCGAGGCCTTATGTAACCTACGATCTGCTTAATCGAGAGAGGCGTTTAGATTTGGCGAGTGGGTGATTTTAGGGTCGTAGGTATGACTTCTAATTTATGCAAAACCTTGTTGACAACACAGTAACGCTTGTATTCACTTTACAACACTTCCAACGAAACCACGGCTTGAGTTCTTCCACTAGAGCTCAAAACCGGAACTAATAGCCACAGAATCCACAGTCCGTCGGGAAACTGGATTAAAACAACAACCACAACTATCTCAGCCCGTCGAGACAATTGGACACTAACAACCACGGAGGTCCTCAGTTACAACCGGACAGAGTATCGGTACACTTTAAGTTCGTCACGTGAACAAGGGACAACGATTGCACTACTTATGCCACCTAAGTAGTCAATCAGGGTTAAGTATTTTATTTAGCGGGTATATAGGGAATATTAAGCGACGAATTTTATGTGAATCACTCGGGGATATCTTCCCTCAAGGGCGAGAAGCCTTTATTATATACCTTCTTTTAATTAGGACACATTATACACGGTTTGAGCGATATATTGTTTATACTGATTATACTGGTTATACTGACTATACTGATTACATCCATGATTCCCTTTATCACCATTAAACAGCCGATACACCGTATACAGCGAATACAGTGTATGCAGCCGGGGTAACTCTATTTTTAGTTAGATATCGAATATTTGTGGAACCGTTTCTGTGCCACTTCGATTGACATTTTCACGTGCTTCCGGATTTACGATTCTGCGGCTCACAGTACGTACTTTCACAGTTATTTTGCATATTTTTAACAGTTTGAATGGATTTACCAGCTTGAACATTGAACAGTTTGAATTGATTGAATTAAATATAAAAAATTTTACTATTGAAAATTAAGCGTATTTTAGCCTCTTACATAAAAGTTCGAAATTTTAAATTAATTATTACAATGCTTGAGTTATTAAATTAGTACAACAAAAACAATCAATAAAGTTTTTATTCAATTAACCAACTTGGATTTAAGCAATTA